TTTTTGTTGTCTTTTTTTAAGATTTCTCATTTTCTGCCTTTTTAGATTTCTTGAGTTTACTTTTTATTTCCTATTAATTTTGGAAGTGATAATTTTATATTATTTCAATAGTTTCTCTAAAATTTACACATGCACTTTTGACTTAATAAATTTTAATCAGTATCAGATAAATAATAATTTTCTTCACACACAGCAAAGACAATGACCTTAAACGCTTTAATTCTGATTATTCAACAGTCAGACATGTTATTTTTTTTTACTATTTTAGCTTCACATTTTTCCTACCCTATCCCAAATTAGTCATTATGTTATTTTTTGTAATAAATCCATAATTTGACTTGTTTACCAATGACTTTGTTCACCTATGCTTCTTTTTTGTTGATGATTTTTTTTTTTTTTTGAAATGGAGTCTTGCTCTGTCACCAGCCTGGAGTACAGTGGCACAATTTCAGCTCACTGCAGCCTCTGTCTCTCGGGTTCAAGCAATTCTCCTGCCTCAGCCTCCAGAGTAGTGGGGATTACAGGCACCCACCACCTCACCTGGCTAATTTTTGTATTTTTAGTAGAGGCAGGGTTTACCATATTGCCAGGATGGTCCTGATCTACTGACCTCATATCCGGCTGCCTCAGCCTCCCAAAGTGCTGGGATTACAATCATGAGCCACCGTACCTGGCCAATGTTTCTTACATTCCAGTTCTTCCTTCTGATTATTTACCTTTCACTGAATTTTCATTTATCAGCACTTTCAATACTGAGCTATAAGAGCAATATTCTCTCAGTCTTTGCTGTCTAAAAATATCTATTTATCTCACTTCTATATCAGTTAAACTATATTGACATTCCCAATTATTTTTCAGTATGAACCTATTTCTAAGTCATCTTGGGACAATGGTTACTTGTGTGAAAATCTGTCAGCCTAATTTTTGTTACTTTATAAATATTTGGTGTTCCTTTTTTTGTTGTTGTAAAACTTTTATCATTGTTTTTCAGTGTTTTCTAGTTTCACTGTGATATGTCTGAGGGTTTGTTTATATTTTCTTGTTTGAAACTCTGTGTACTTTAACTAGAAGACACTTTAGTTCTAAAAAGCACTTACTCATTATCTGTTTGAATACTACTTCTTTCACTTCTGCAACTCTTTAAAAAAAAATTGTGGTACTTTATCATCTCATCCCAAAGGCTCTCATGGAATAGCTGCTATCTAACTCTCCGACTTCATCTCTCACAGTGTCTTTGAGCCAAACCAGTCTTTAAATCACTCACACTCAGGTGACTCTTCTGTCTGTCATAGGACCTTTATCAGGCTCTTTCCTGAGCAGACTGCTTGAACCACTCTTCTGCCAGTAAGCTCCAACTCTTCCTTACAGAATGCTTCACTGACCTTTCTGATGGGGTTTCATTCCCCTCTTATAACATCCTACATTCTTCAGAGCACTTGAGACAGTTGCACTTTTAAATTTACTTGTTTGCGGATCTAGTCAAAGTCAGGCCCTTCCACTGGATTCCCTGCTCCATTAAAGTAGTGTTTTGGTTTTTATTCTCTTGGCATTTTATAGGCACTCGGGAATTAACAATATAGAGACTAAACCAGGTAGGAAGCATAAAACCAGCAGGGACTGACGTGGCATTTATTCATCTCTGAATATCAGCTTCACTTCCCTCATAGTAGACACATTTTCTCTCCTTTGCTGCAGTATTTAATACAATAAAATGTGCGGGGTAGATACCTCCAGGTGAAATAGGAAACAGACCCATGAGCCAAGACTGTCTAGCTGTCACATTCTTTAGATAGCCTTTCACTTTAATTTCTACATAGAGCTAGAAAATATGCAACCAACTTGGTGGTCATTATGGATAAATTCTGTTTTTCCCATTTTCTTCTAGAATAACTGAGCAAGTTTTGAAGTAACAACCACTTCCAAAAATCTAATTGGAAAGAAAATGCTTTTGCTCACACTTAAATTGAAGGAGTAACCCTCAGAGCATTTACTTAGCAAATATTTGCTGAGATCCTAAATAGTACCAACAGTGTTAGGCCTTTAGATTGCAATAGGAAAAACAAACAGGGTCTCTACTCCCACTGAGATTAGAGTCTAGCTGGGAAACATGATTTTGATACTCACAATATCACTAAACATGTAATTTAAAATAATATGAATCCTTTGAATGAAAGAAGATACCTTGTGAACATTTAACACATTAACTTGACCTATAATTGCCTTAGGACAGGGAAGGCTTACTTTACATGTGACTCTTCAGCCAAGATTTTAAAGATGTGTAAGAGTTAACTAGACTAGGAGAAAAAGGAAGAACATATCAATAAGAAATATTAGTTTGTGCGAACATTCTGTGGCAGGAAGCAGACTGGTGATTGTGAGGGCCTAAAGAAGACCAGAGATATTGGGAACAGAAATAGAGTTGAGGATTGAGAGTTATTTAGGAGTGTGAGACAGTGACTGGAACCGACTCATATAAGCTAAAAAGCCAATCATATTTTTAAAAATTGTGTGAGCTGATTGGTTGTTAATCACAACAATTATTAAAAGTGAAACTGAATAAACTTATAATTAAACAAATTACATTAAAAACAAAGGTTTTCCAATTATTCCCTGTTATTTTTAATGATTTCACCGCAGTTCACTATTATTTGTGCTCCTGAGTTTATTTATGTATAGTATATCAATGCAGTGGAAACACTTTTTGATTGTGTGCTACTGCACATTTCTTCCCAACCTCGGATTCAGTAATGTCGCATTACTAACCTGAAATCAACCACAGTGAGATTTTACACCTGAAAATTGATAAACCTTTTGAAAGAAGACATTCCTCCACTGCCAAGAGCCAGCTGATAAACACTTACCAGTATGCCATTGAGTGAGACTATGCAGAATCCTGACGTCTGTCTTAAGAATTGATCTTTATCACAGGAGAAATGAGCAGGCATCAAAAGGATTTAAACAAGGAGTTAACAAAAGCATATTTCTGTTTCAAAAAAAAAAATTCAAGACTATTGAAAAGGAAAAGGAAGCAAAGTGCCTTTGGAAAGTCCATATGGTAAATCACACAGGCTCAGAGTAGGATTACAGAAGTGAAAATGGAGGAAAGTGAATAGATTTAAGATTTATTATTTAGGAGCTAAAATAGAAGGCCTTGTTCTTCTGACCAGAAGAAGAGTGAAAGGGTGATATCAAATATATTTTCTGGATTTCTGATTTTTCAGATGGGAGGTTTGTGTTGTCATTTGCTAAAATAGAAAACACTAAAGGAAATTTGTTGAATTTATTATATTTGTTGAATGTTTTGAAACTGCAGAGTTTGCAGGCTTTTGAGATCCAAAGACTCAACGCTGGTGACATTTACCTGCCTGGTGGAATCAATCACTTAAGAGCCTCATGACGAAGGAAAGTCTATATCCCGTCCAACGTCTAGATGCTTTTGGTGTTTTCATTTTGAGCCCAATCCTGCCACCGTGTGACAAAGAGCCAACCTCACAGTTGATTAAACTTAGACCTAAGAAAGAGAGGAAGGAAAAATCTCCATATGGAATAAATGGGATGGAAATGTGTGAAATGAAGGAAGTGTCTTCTTACATAAACTCCTTTTAAAATAACCCATAACTTTTCCATTTTTATATATGTATAACAGTACATGAACAGTGGCTATGAGAATGGCCTCCAAGACCTCTGAATGCAGAGAGTGTAAATGACTGAGGACCCTAATGCTGTACTCTGAAAGCCAGCATTTGAGCAGTGACCACACTGCTGCTCCCAGCAAATGACTGAACAGGGCAGAGATGCTAAGGTAGCCCTGAGAGATGTCAGTCTCCCCAGCATCCTTGCCAAACACTCCTTAGAACTGCATTGTCTAAGATGCTTCCATTCAATGTTCCTGTCTTCACAACCTCTCTCCTTAACTTGAGTTCTGACCTGCATTATGGTCTGATGCCTCTGCCAGCCTTAACTGAGTCACTGCCTCCACTGCCTTGTGCCTGTAGTAGCCCTTGACTGATGTGACTTCCTGTCATTCCCCTACTGATAGTAAACATGTGCTTTTTATTAGTTTCGGGTTCTGGGCTCAAATAATTTTCTTTGACTTTCTCCAAAGTGAGACAGCTTTTGCTTCTACCCTCTTCCAGAAGCAAAAGATATTTTGTGTCTTAGAGGTTGAAGGGTTTCTTGCTACTGCACCAGTAAAGGTTCTGCTTTGCAAGAGAGAAGAGCCTGAGAAGTGGATGGGATTTTGTGCCTGTGTGCCCAACAGGGAACTCTCTTCAGTCCCTTTCCGCCCCTCAGCATGAGAGGTCCGTGAAGAGGAGGCCATGAATGAGTGCAGATGATACTGTATCTGAGATTCCCAAGGATTCTAAATTGTCATGATAGCACGTACTCAAACTTTAACTAGTCATCAAAGTTTTAGTTGTTTTCTTTGCTCACTCCGATGGCTCCTGCCTTTTTTTCCTGTGATTTTCTAAAGGTTGAACAGTTGATGTCTTCTGTATATCTTCAGAGAGCTTGAAACACTTGACCAGTTTATTTGGTTGCTTTGTGAGGGCAGGTCTCTGCTGATCTAATGAAAAGTTATGATTTGGCAGATTATCTGTCTTTTTCTAATTTCAAAATTGGAAGCAGTGTTCTCCTACAGCTTTCTACATGTTAAGCAGAAGGAAAACTCCCTTTGATTATTTTTAAAAATCAGTTATATTCCAATGTCAGGTTTCATCTTTTATGGGTGGGTATAGCAGAGTCAGGAATAGAATGTATACATAAATAATATGTTATGTTCTAGGCATCTGAAATTATGTTATCAAACATATGTCCCTCTGTGTGATGGTCACTATTCTGTAAATTTATTGACTGAAAACATCAAGCAGCAATGGAATGCATAGTTCAACATCAGTTAAGGATCCCATAGCAGATTTCCCCTAGACAGAAAGAAATTGTTTCTAGGATACTTTGTTTTGCGTCATTCTTCAACACAATTACCTTGTCCTTTCCACTAGGTGGTTGACCAGATTGACACCCTGACCTCTGACCTACAGCTGGAGGATGAGATGACTGACAGCTCCAAAACAGACACGCTGAACAGTAGCTCAAGTGGCACAACAGCTTCCAGCCTAGAGAAGATCAAAGTGCAGGCTAATGCACCACTTATTAAACCCCCAGCACACCCATCTGCTATCCTCACAGTCCTGAGAAAGCCAAACCCTCCACCACCTCCTCCACGGTTGACACCTGTGAAGTGTGAAGACCCCAAAAGGGTGATTCCAACTGCCAATCCCCTAAAGACCAATGGCACCCTTCTACGAAATGGAGGCTTACCAGGTGGACCTAACAAAATTCCAAATGGAGATATCTGCTGCATACCCAACAGTAACTTGGACAAGGCTTCAGTGCAGCCTCTGATGCATAGACCTGAAAAAGACAGATTTACCCAGGCAGGGCCTCGAGAACGAGTTCGGTTTAATGAAAAAGTACAGTACCATGGCTATTGTCCTGACTGTGATGCCCGGTATAACATAAAAAACAGGGAGGTCCACTTACACAGCGAACCTGTCCACCCACCAGGAAAGATTCCTCACCAAGGCCCTCCCCTCCCTCCTCCACCCCATCTCCCTCCTTTCCCACTAGAAAATGGGGGACTGGGAATAAGCCACAGTAACAGCTTCCCCCCTGTCAGACCTGCAACTGTGCCTCCTCCCACTGCACCAAAACCACAGAAGACGATCTTGAGGAAATCAACCACTACAACCGTGTGATGTATGCCATTAAAAAAAACAAAAAAAAAAAAAACAAAAACAAAAAAAAATCTGATTTTTAAAATTTTCTATATTATAAAATAATAAGTAATGAGCACCTTCTACTCAAGCAATAAAAAGCCCAAATATATTAATCCTGCATTCAGCAAAGTGGCATAAAAATCACCTGGTAAGTATGCAGCACATTGCTTATATCCTGGGTATGCATTATTTTAAATGTTGTATCATTTAAGACCTCAGAATGATGAAAAATATGAATGCAATGTTTTTGCAATTGACCTACGACAAACTGTGAACCTGCAGATTTCACCTATTTTGATTTACTGTAAGAGCTGGGATTTGATCCATTTTATTTATGCCTAAGTCATCTATGCATTAACATGTCATATTCTTAACTTTGATCTAATGCTTTTTACCAGGACATTTTAATACTGGAGGACTATTTTATTATTTTTTTCTAAAGATGTTTGTCACTAGTTTTTCATTATTAAATGCTGAGGACAATACCAAGAAGTTTATTTTCTATATTATACAATTATGAATTATATGCTCAGCTATATATGTAATAAAATACTTTGGTCTGTGGAAATATCGTTATATCAATAAACAATAGTAAATAATGATAAAAACCAAATGTTCCTCAGAATTAAAATGAAGTAGTGATTCATTTAATCTCAGTTTAACATTCATCAAAATGGGTAGCCAATCTGATGGAGTTTGGAGAAGTTACAGTGAGTGCATATCCGAATTTCCTAAATGAAATATCATACTCCACATCATAAATAGAAATTTACACACTGCATATGTTATACTTCCATTTGGTACTTCAAGAACCTTCTCTTGAACTCTCCCTATGTTGCCAAGCCCTCCTCATACTCAACATTCTTCCAGGATGTACCATAAACTATTACAGTGAGTCTGTGGGGTTCTTTGCCTCCTGAATTAGCAAGCTCTCTGCCTCCCCAAGTGAACTCACATTTATAAGAGAATTATAGGGGAAAATCTAAGTGCTTCTGGTATGAGGATGAGTTCAGCATTGGCCGTAATCTTTTCCCTCTCAGAATTGAAAGATACAATGGGCTGTTGCTGTTCTCTAAAAGAAAGAGAAGGAATCTTTCCTTCTAACATCAAATAAAAATCCTTCTCTTCAGTCTTATTTACTAACTTCAGAAACTTTACCGCCCCACCATGGGCCACATTTAGCTTCCAATTGCATTAATTTCAACTGAGGAGATATTTTGTCTTGGAGCTAGAAATGAGTTTCTCTCCTTTAGAGTTATGATGAGGACAGGTTCCTGAAAACAAAATTGGTTCATTTAGTGGTAAGAGTAAAGGGAGTCATCTTTGGTGGAAATGTATTTATTGCACAACTTGATAAAGAATCAAGTGGCTTTTGTGAACATTTGGCTTTCGATCTCAAAACTGTAATCCTTGCGCAGAGAGGTAGCCTTCAATCATATTTCTCTTTGTTGCCTTTTTCAAGCTATATCATGGTAATTTGGAATAGTGTCTTTGACAGCTTCTTATTAAAAATGATTATATATTTTATATGGAATACAAAAAGAAAATAGGCCTTATTTTATGAAGGAACAATCAAATTAGTGAAAATCAGAATGTCATGTTAAATATTTAGTCAGCATGCATTATATTTTGTAGGTGCTGGACATGAAGATAAGGAAAGCAAAATAATCCAACTTACAATTATCAGAAAGTTACAAAACATAGATCCATAATCAAGAAAGGCCACAATCTAAAATTTCTTAACTGTATTATTTATTAGTATGTTTTTGATAGATATGAGTCACATAAATAAATAATAGACTTATTAAATACCAAAATAATGTGTTCTTAACTTTTTAATGCATGTATTTAGTCTTGATAGAAATAAAACCAGGGTTTTATCATATTTCTATAGTTAAATAATTACTTCCTTTCACATGTCTATCAAGAGCTAGACCCTTAAATATTATAAACAATTTTAGAGACATGCAGTTTTCTTTCTTCAATGCGTCTTGCCTTTTCAGCCAGTTACTGTGACCTAATAATCACCCTGTAGCTTAAGACTGTGACACTTTTCGATGCCTGGGAACCAACCCTGATCTCAAGGTAGAACTTTCTAGCAACCATACACCACCCACAGAACAGATAATTTCCTTGCAATAAAGCAAGATGAATAAATTGAATCATTCAAGCTGGTTGACTAAGGACATTGAGCCAGAAGCCTAAAAACAACCTCAGAGTTCCAAATCCATTTCTCTTTCTCTAAGTACAGACAAAGCTTCTCCATGAAAGATCATATTTTTCTGTGTGATTGGTGACATATGCCAAAACTACACCTGTTTTTATTCACAGAAATAACTAATTACTGGCTTAGAAATCTGAGTTGAATACCATCCCCAAAATGTTACAGTTTTGACCTTACTAATAAGGACCTTACTCTCTTATGATAGTTTATTTATAATCAACATTTAATATTAGATTATAGCAGTTAGGACTTATTTTGAATTTATTTATTCCATGCTATTTCATTTTTTATTAATGCATGGCATATATTTTGCCAATAGGTTTTCTTGCCCAGGTGATAATTTTGCAGCATTCACTGAAACTTAGTTATATTTTTACATATATACAAACTTGTAAAACAAAAACCAATTAACATAAAGCATCATATTTGCCTGCAAACTTGTAATTAAAGTGTCATTAGTGACAGCACAGTTTTTTATAATCAACCAACATTACTTTCAAAATGTAAATGTTGAAGTGTAAGCTCTATGTATCATCCATTAAATTACCATAAAATATAGTACATATTTCCTCTTCCTAAAGACCTTAAACAGAAATGTTTTCCTCAAATACTTGAAACTGTGTTTTGTTAACCGTGTGCATTTGAACACTTTTATTTACACATAGTGTTTACCACAGAGCTAGGATTCATACTCCCTTGAAGGTGATGTTTCCACAAAATGTAAAATGGTAATACACTTTTTAGGAAAATATCCATTCATACTGTAAACATTGAATATATTTCAAAAGGCATGGTACTCATTAATTAAATTGGAATACATAATATTTGTTTTTTTACTTTAGACAAAGATTATCCCATTTTTGGAGTTTTTTGTACTTCTACCAATGAAAGGTGAATATAAAATAAAAATTGACGAAAGTTGTCTTCCATCTACCAGTAGTTATAGCAGTTGTAAAGGGAAATAAAACACATTTTTAAGATTGTGCTTAAGCCAAATCTAAAAATATCTTCACAAAAATAGAAGGGCATACAGAAACAAATTTTTCACTTTTCCAATTTGATGTTATTCATTTATTCCCTCATTCATTGAATAATATTGGAACAAATGATTATATTAGCAGAAGTGGTTTAATTAACCTAAATTATCCTGTGTTTGAATTATAACTGCATCCTAATTATTAAATGAGTAAAGTAATATGATACAGCTGACATGGCTTTCTGTGGACAGATCAGCATGTCCAGGGCAGCAGCTACTCACAGTCTTTGAAACTATACAAGACCTTGAATCTATAGAGAATCTACAGAGTCTAATTATAGCTCTTTTTTGGTGCTCCGTGAAGAAAAGTCTGAGTAATTCTGCATATAATTGCATAGGGAATGGTGTTATCAAGTAATTAATCACCGCCTTGACTGAATTTTTTTCCATGGATTATATGTGATAATGCGATGCTGAGTCTTGTAATTATCCTGAAGACTTTGTTTCTTGCTTCTAATTCTCTGTCACCAGCTCATTTTGCTATGACTTACGCTCCAAGTTGTAGCAAAAGATTACATTGTAATGTACTTTGATAAAATACTGATGATTTCTAAGTGGGGAAAGTATTTATGAACGATAAAGTTCTATAAAAAGGCACATTACAAAAGTAGATAAAGTGCACAGCATCTGAAAATTACTAGACATTTTCACAAAACCACATCACATTCTCTGGGTCAATGTGTAACTGACACTGTTTAAATGTTTACAGTAAGCGTTTTGGAGTTTACGAATTCTTCAAGTTACATGATTCTGAAATACTGGTAGATGTGATGCTACGATTAGGGCACACGGTAGTGTTGAACGTAAAACTGCAGTTAGCCTTATCTTTGTGGAGTAGCAGTTACGTAGGCTGTCATTTCATTTGAAGCATTTGGATTTATCATGCTCATCTGCTGGAGAAAAAAAAAACCTGAAGTGTAATATAAAGAAGCTTTTCAAATAGCTCTCTCTTTAAAATACAGTTAAATCAACATGGGGTATAGAATTGTGTGAAGACACAGGGAAAATAAGGAGGAAATATTGCTTATAATTTATAGCTTCTAGACTCATAGGTAGACTAACATATTAACTTCTTTCTGAAACTTAACATATCAACACTAATATATAACATAGGAATTAGTACACTTATTTATAAATGGAGAAATTGTACTCCACCAACATTTGCTTCTTGGTAAGTGTTGGGCTGGCATTTTGTGCTGCAAGCATGACTTACCATGTTTTCTCTCCCCACAGTATCGCCGTTTAAATGTGTTCTTCATAGCCCCAAACTTTGTGAAGGTTTCCGTTATTCTGATCAGTTATTTTGATGCTTGAAAAGGGTTACCTAATGTTGTTTTGACATTCTTAATGTGTTTGATCTTAGCAGAATATGAAAGGGATTTCAGGCAATTTAGCTACCATCTAAAATGAATGAGCTGCTGAATAATGCAAGCCTCATTTTCGCATGTATTATACCAGCGGCTTCACCTTTTAATTTTTTCTCTAAGTTCAAAGACTATTATTGTGGATCCTTTTTCTAAGAAGTTCTGTTTCTTAGAATTATGCCACTGACCCTGAATGTGTCACTATCATACACTGGTGTTTCATTTGTGAATTCCATCTATTTAACATTGATCCCTAGAGCCAAAAGTAGCAATAGATCTACTCCATGGAACCTCTAAAGAGTGCATTAAAACTCTCTCTAATAAAAGCATTCCTATGCTTTTGTTATTAGGCTATGGATATGATTTCCCTCTATTTCATAACGTAATTGTCAATTATCCTAACCACTCAGAGGAATTTTAGACCAGCTAAATAAAACAATGTGTGTCTCAAGTGGGTCAGAGTTCATGGCAGCAAAACATGTGCTATGGAATCCTTATCAAGAGCTTACTTTATTCTAAACATTCTTCTAAGTTTTTTGCATGAATACAAAACATCATCTTCATAACATCATTTTTTTTATTCATAACAACCCGATGTCTTGGACACAATTATTATTCACATTTTACATATGAGAAAACTGCGGCATTGAAAACTGACTGCCCGCAATCTTAGTTCCAGTAAGTTGTCAACCTAGAATTATAAGGCAGGCAGTCTGCCTCCGCAATCCATATTCTTTACCATCTTTCAGCACCACCTAAAACATCGATCCTGCGTTGTGTACAGATAATCTGTAGATCTGAACATCATCGTTTTCTGCAATTTGCCTTAGAAAGGTATTGGGAGATATAAGATAGAAAAATAAATGTATTTTTGTGTTAGTCAAGATAGACTAGCTTGTATGCTATGGTAACAAATAACCCCAGTATCTCAGAGACATCTGAGTTATTTGTTGTGAACTCTGTGTCAGAATTCACCCTGGGCCTGGGAGAATTTTCAGAGCAGGTGTTTCTCAAGTAGTCATTCAATAATAAAGGCTGCATTCATCCTGGGAATCAAACATTCTCATCAAGAATCATCACAACATAGTAAGGGGCAACTGGAGAATTTTACTGCTTTTACATCAGTTAAGATTTGTGTACCAAAGATTGGTGCTTTGACGTGTTTGCATGTTTCACTACCCAAAACTAGTCACATGGTCTTGTTCGTAGTCCCCATATGACCAGAAATGGAAAACGATCTGCATATGGGTGAGGGCCCAAGTCATGCCAACCACAGTTTCAAAGGGATAATTTTTTGGTGTTTGAATAATTTGAATATTTTACAGATTCCTGAAGACTTTGCTTTCTTATCTTTTTATATTACCTAATGTTCACTTAATCTCACCATAAATCAGGATGTCATTTTATTTTAAACATAGATAGAAATGAATCTACAGTAACCCCGCTGAAAACTTAGTGGGGAAAGTTAACATTTACTATAATGAGAATTGAGTTTTATTACAATTTGTAACAACCATGTTTGAATTCTGTCTGAGAATAGTTACCAATAGGCATTTTTAAGTTAAACATTTTAGAACTGCATACTAAATTTTTAGTTGGCAAGTTTCTGAATAAGTAATCTTTCCATTATAATTAGGTTCCTATATGAGTTGTCCGCCAAATATTACATAAACTTAATGTTAAGATACATACTTATCTCTCCAGAATAGCCAAATAAATGTCGTACTACAGAAATTTAGTATCATGATGATGTAAATCATATGTGTATATATAATATTAATTTAAAGGATAATATATTAGTATAAAAATATCAATTCAAAACCAGAAAGCCTGTGTTTGAGTCTCGATCCTCCAAGATCTTAAGTGCTCCTGATCAAATTACTCAACAGGTTTGAGATTTGGTTTAAAATGAAGATAATGGTGCCACCCTTTCTACCTAATGGGGCTATTGAGTCATTAAGTATGTATCCTGAGATCACCTGGATTCCTCCATTACAATATAATAAACAATATCAACAAAAGGATGCTACAATTACACAAACCCCAAATGAACTTCTAAGACGTTGGGACTATAAGCTTCAGTTCTTTCCTAGATAGCAATGCTGAAATGCACAATGGATGAAGCAACATGGATATGCAATTTCAGAATTCAACAAGTCTGCTGCCTTCAGAGTTATTGAATAGACAGAACCACTAAATTATTCTACCGCATTCTTTTCATAGGTCAGAAATGTCTCCCAACCTTTTATAATATCTTCTAGATTGGAGCTAACTAGACCATGTATGGTCTCATAGGAAATTGCTATTTACCCAATGTTTTGCTTTAAATTTTACTGTGTTATTTGCATGGGATAAAAGCTGTTCTGCTAACACATAGTGGGTTACATACATAGTTCAGCTCAGTTGAATCTTCTGTTTTATTTATTTATTCAAACCTCAACTCATGTTTCTCTTGTAGTCACATTTATAGAAATGACATATATTACCCCTGCTTAATTTTATCTAATCCTTCACAAGGTATTGGTCCTGTACTTGTTCCTCAAATTACGTGGTTTCACACATTTTATTTCTAAATATGTATTTCTGTAGTAACATTAATTGTGTATCTTCTATTACCACCCAGTTTCCTAACAATTTCCCCTGCATTCCTCTTCTAAAGGACACCGCCTGCCAACATGTTGTTTTGAGGCCCTAATTATTTAATGAATGTGAAAATACAGTAAAACCTTGAACAAATACGAATTACTGTTATTAATTTGTGATACTTCTTACCAAATTACTCATGTTCTTTGTTAATATGGAGGATTGTTTTGTATTTGCCTTAGTTGATGCTAATGATATTGTTTTCGTCTTATTTGTAAAGTAATCATTTTACTTAGATATCTTTGTAGTTTATATTATCAGGTGAGCCTAATGATTTTCTTAGAACCTTACCAATTCATTTGTAGAAGTCTCATTTTTGATTAACTACATTTTGTGAATTAGAAAGTCAACAAATGCACATGAGACAAATCTAAAAAAACTGAAAAGCTTGCTTTATTAAACTGTTTTGACAAGTGTAGCCTACCTTTAATTATGATAACATGTAATAGCATATGAATAAATGTATTTAGAGTATAATTCGTCAAACTAAAGTCTAATACATATCTCTTTATATCTTCTAAAAATGTTCATATAAGAATAAATCAGCTTTTGTTTAAAAATATCTAGGTTTGTGGTTTAAAACAAGTTATCAGTGATATTTTAAAAATTCTGACAAAGCATTAACTATTGCTTTGCTTCAATAAAAGTTTGTGATATATTTAAATATATATTTCAGTGAACTGCATTTCAAAAGGACTGAGAGCTGAAGTCTTATGGTTATAGTGACTTATGACTTCATACATTTACCAATATGAATATTGCCAACAAAATCCAAAAATATCATCTGGAACTATTATTTCAACCAATTCAAACCACCCTTTATGACAACAAAAGGCGTATTTAGTTTATGTTACCTCCTTTTAAAAACTTCATAGTTGTAGCAAATAATGACTGCATCTTATGTGATATTGAAAATACAGTACTGAAGTTCTGGGTTTTATAAAACAGACTTCTTTTTCTAAGTGGACTTATCAATCCGTTATTAGAGAATTAATATTAAAATTAGCTCCTCCATATGACTTCTCAATAATTTTTCTGATTACCTAAACTCCGAATTTCAGCTACAGTTAGCTTTTTCATCTCTCTCATTTTTTTAATCTAGGTAATTTTAACTTTTTGCCATGTCTCCCTTTTAAAGTCTCTCCCAATGCCTCTCCTCAGTTGGGCTTTTATCATCTCCCTTCCGAAGGTTGCATTTGCCACCTGACTGCTCACTTGACCCCTTGCCTTAGTTTCCACTCCATTCTGCCAATACCCAACAGAGAAATTTTCCTCTCACCATTTCATCTCAATCCAAAAAATTTGATAGTTTAGGACTATCGCTATTTAAAAGTCTTACCTCTGGGCTTGGCATTTCTAACAAAAATACTTGAAAGCCTATCTTTATAATCTCCCTAATACTGAAAAGGCTGCTCCAGCTGAGTAGTCTAATTACTGTTCCCCTGATATGCCTTGCTGCACCTTCTTCTGGACTTGTGGCCCAGCCTGAGATAACTTTGTTCTGTAAGTCTTGCTCTGTAGATTTTCACCATTTATCTGAATCTTACCCTAACTTGTAAAAAATCTTATTCTAACTTCCAAAAATAAAACACAGTGGTAAAATGGGTACAATACAGGTAAAAAAAATTATAAAACAAACAAAAATATATAGAGAAAAGGTAATTAGTAATTAAATAAATATTCTTTTAGAGTGTGCATCTTTTCTTAAATTAGCAGTATAATTAAAGGTAGCACCTACCATATCTACTTTTACTAACAAGAAACCATAGGGTAACAAAGTTGAAGAAACTTAAAATGATCACATTCAATTCCTTCACTTTATTGACCTCTTACTAGGCTGAATAACTTGTGAAAACTCATGCGCAGAAATGCAGGTTTCCTCACTTGAGATAAAATATATTCCTATTTCCTCCATGAAAGTGGTTCTCTATAGAAGATGGACTGCTACAAAGTGATGTATTAAAATCTGAATCTCAGTACAGAAGAGGTAAGCAATAAAATTTGAGTTAATTATGTAAAATGCTGTCACATATGCAGAAATTTCTCAACAAAAAGAAGGAAAGGAAGTGAAAAATAAATAAGAAATATACACTCACCATAAAAATGTGCATGTGAATTATTGCATATGTTAAACAGCTTGATGTAGCCATTCCACAATGTATACATATTTCAAAACATGTTTTATGTGACAAATGCATATAAATATTTTGTTTATTTAAATAAATAAAAATGTTTAAGAAAGAAATAAGCAATTACTACATTGTACTTAAAATTTGACCTGAGCCAAGAAAGTTAAATAAAAGTTAGGCCCTTAAATTAATGTATGAAGATTTAGTTGCACTTTTATCACTTATAATATTTATCGTTACTTTTTTAAAACAAGTTGAGTGGAAAACAAATTTCAAGATATTTTCTACTTTGACAGACTTTATGTGGAGAAAAAGGTGCTTTTTCCTCCCAGGAAGCATATAGCTGATAAGAGGGATTTCTGAGAGACAGGTCCCTTGTATAAATGTTCCCATGAGGATGAGGCTTTTAGTTAGGTTTATATTTAGTCATTCAGTTTCATGCATTTAAAGATCCATCTCATGCTAAACTCCATCCTAATCACTATGATGATGTAGATGGGACAAGAATGAGTACTCCCTGCTGGCAGTGATCTTCGTGTCAGTTACAAAGATAAAAATATAAGAGGTAAATACAATTTGCAACTGGAATTGTGCATATGGCATTCTCCTTAAACCATCCTAAACCTGTCCACTTACTGGAATAAACACACAAAGTTATATGAGTTTTCTTCCCAGTGAGAAAATTCTAATAGTTTTAGTATGGTTATGTTCAGCATTTACATCAAATTTCTTTTCTAAGCCTAATGATCTGGAGCCTCATGTTGTTTCATTTCCTGGAGAGTGCTATCATGTGGATTGAATACACAGCATTCTTTCTTTTGTGTTTGCTGAAATCACTTTGGTAAAGATACAGCTGCCATCCCAATATGTATTTGTTTACTGAATTCATAGAATGAACAATCAGATATAAAGTGCTTTATTGATTACCTTTTCCTATTCTCATGGCTTTGTCTATTGCTTTCATTTAATGTATTGTTCCTTGCAATGTTTGAAGAGATTGAAGTGAGATTTGAAAAGACTATTTTTATGTCTGTGGTTCTCCGTGTGAGAGTTTTCTTATTGATAGTTAAAAAGTGTGACATTTACTTAGCATGCAGTTATAAAGGTTAGTCCTCACAGACTTCCTAATCCATGAAATGAGGAAAGTTATTCTGGATTTCTTATAATTTAAGGCCCACACAAATAGCTGCCGATTACATAATATGCCCCAATTCTTTGTACACAGAGATGAAATTGGATTTGTCAGTATGTAGTGTGTCTCTAGGTATTTTGGGAACTTTTCCATAATGAGTTAGATACTGATGATACAGCTGGACTTAGGTAGACTAACCGAATTGTGGCCTTTTGTTTCTTTGTTTTTCCATTATCGAAATTCAAACACAGACGTTAACATAAGAACCCTTTCTCTTAGGAGAACACAGGCTCCTTTCTAAAGTCTGTAGAAAACAACTTTTTAAAAAGGGGGTATGGGAAACAAAAACTTTGTTGGTGGTGGAGAAGGATAAAAGACACTTCTAGATGCTGAGCAGATAGTGCTATGGAAAGCAGAGTTCTCATGCAATCTGGAATCTTGGAAATGGGCAGAGATGGGTGGAGGGGAGGCCTGGTTTCTATGAATGTGGGAAACTGACATCATTGGCTTGAGGTTGTTTTCTTCTTTTCCCTCCTTTCCTGGCCTAGGGATGTGTTGCACACCTGAAAGAATGCAGGGTTTCTATATAAGTGTTGTACTATTTGCACCAAAGAGAACATGATTTTATTTTCCAGATGGAGAGATGAGCAAATCTAAGAATATATGTTCTAAAAATTCTTAGCATTTTATGTTTTAGAAACTAGAGCACCAATGTACTCAGGAGCATTTTAGAACTCATGAGCCTTATTTCTTTGCTTTCCGTTATATACCAACATGAATCTTAATCCTTCCTAGACATCAAATCACTTAGGAAGCTTCATACCCTGATCCCCAACCTGGACCAATTAAATCAGAGTCTCTTTCTGGTTGGCTCAGTCATCAGTAGGCTTCAAATCACCCAGGTGATTCTAGTATGCCAGCAGAATTAACAATAATTAAATAATACAGTACAGAGAATAGCACATCTGTTATTATTGTATTCTAATTGCAACAGCATAAAATAGTACTTATAAAAGCCTATTTACGCCTTTTTTTCACTATATGTGTAAGATACAAGAATGTACTGATAAATTTGTATTTTATAAGTTTATGTGGAGCATTAAAACCCTTTTTAATTTAATGTAATGTTTAAAAGTAATTCCTCAACTAGAGATCCATTTAAGGTTAGTTTAGGAAATATATGATTTTTGTGCATTACTTTAACACTTAAAGTTTCTGTGATTCACTAGCTCAATATCCATTTTAAAAAGAGGAAAGTAAATTTTGACAATAAATTGTTAAAAAGAGCAAAGTTTGCATTGTGTCCATGCTAAGAATATTGCTTAGGTATCAGTAATTTGCTTAGGTATCAGTAATTCTAAGCTGATTATGAATATTTAATGCTATGTCAGTTATATAAAAATCATTTATAGCTTTTATTCAGATTTTCTGATGATGAAATTGAGCTAAAGTATCCAATGTAATATCCCAGCATTGTCAGAAATGTTATATTCTTCATGATCTCCCTCAATTTTTTGCTATATACCATGTTGATAAATGATAATAAACATATATATCTTAGTATTTTCCACACTTGCTTTTAAAACACTCTATCTGTTCATCTTTTAAATTTTTATTCTAAGAAAATATAAGTAAAATTTCAGTGTTCAGGAAAATTATATTCTTCGTAGCCTCTTCCAAATGTTATTTTCTGTTCATTACTTTTTTAAAATTTATAATCAGCTTATATTTTCCACACTAGCTTTAACAAAATTTAAATTTTTATTTATTCTTGTGTTTTTATGGTCTTCAACGCAATAAAAGTCATTTTCTGACATTCAGGATATAAGCTAATAAAAACAGCATTATAATCATGTATATTCAAATGTACATTTAATATTAAAGATAGCAATAAGTGTAAACAATTCACAGTGCTCCTCTTTGTAGTAATTATTGGTAGAAATAAATACTGCCAGTTATAAACTTGAACTGGAGCCTGGTACAGGATAATGTAGATAGAAAAAAATTGTAACACATGGCAGCCTAAAAATTATTAAGTATTCTAACAACAAAGATCTTGGTATATCACTGGTTGCTTACTGCATAATAGAAAAGTTACCTTTGAAAAAAACACATTTATTCAAAAATTCACATTATATCTTTCATCATTGTGCTTTAACAGTCATATAGCAAAGTTCAGAGACATGTAATCCAATTAAATTGATACAAAAATGGCTTCAAATGGCCTTACAAGTGATTCCAGTAAATAATAACAAGGGAAATAGACAATTTTCATATTAATGAAAATGACAATTTTATTATTTTTTGCTCAGATTGCTACTTGAAAGAAGGGTTTCTTTGGTTCAACTCTAGATTACCTTTAGATTAAAATGAACTTCATGATTTTACATTTGATAGTTGCTAGGCAAGTCATCTCCATGCTTCCTGATATAATGACATGTAGATATTCTTACCTCTTGATTTTGTCAGTTCCTAAAAAGAAGCTAGCAATTTGTCTTTGGGGACATATTTTTGCTCTTGACTTGAAATTTATGTTAATATTTGGGCTGAAGACCTTATGCTTTCTCTAGCCAAGTTGCAGCCATCAAAGCTCCATCATTGTTATTGGTGCTAATGTGCAGACCATTCAAGCCAAGCAGGCTCAGTGGATGTAAATAGAACTTGCTGATAAGCTCCTTCAGTCTATTTCTTCATGTAACAAAACACCAAAACGCACAGGGAATTTTTTTTAAGTTGTTCAACTGCCATATCACACCACTATCCCTGATCTTTGAAAAGACACATTTTGGGTGTTCAAGGATCTCCATTCAGAGAAGAATTTTGCAGTTCAAAAGAGAAGGATATGAGAAAAAGTAACACTTACTAAGCAATCATTTTATGCAATGTTGAGTATTGTACATATGCTACTTTAATTCTTTTAACAATTCTTGTCAAATAAAAATTGCATAGGACAGATTAAACAGGCAAGAAAGATTTTATTCAAATGGTTGCAAGAGAACTTAAGATTAGTTCAGTAAGGGAGAAAGATTGAATTCAACTTCAGAGAGACAAAAGGCAAGCTGTTTTTAGCGCTGCTGTGAGATTTTGAAAAGGATATTGGGAAGGAGGTTGGTCAATGTGATTAGGCCATCTGTGTTTGCTAATTACTGCTTATCAAAGTTAAACTCTTACTCTCTGATGGGCACTGGGATATAGGGACATTATATATAGGGACACTATCTTTTTTGATGATTACATTTCAAAAGAATGGTTCTCAGGTTGAGAAAGATCTTCCTAGGTTATGAAAGTGGAAAGAGACCTGGAGAAAATTTACATCTCAAGGAGCAAGGAAAATTTACAGTTGAAGGGTTTTTAAAGTAAATGCTCTAAGAAAAGGGAAGTCAGAAGCTTGTAGTACTATTTAACATTTAAAAGAGCTTAGGGGACTATGAAGGCTGTCTTGTTCTCCCTTAAAGTTACTTACTAAGAGCCTGAGGCTTGGGGGTGTTACTTTTGCTTGTCCTAGTCTCCCAGCATTAAGATGATGGACTATAGACTTGACCATAATTCTGGTCTGCTCCAAAGCTTATGACTTTACCAATACACTTCAGGCTTACAAAAGTTCTCCATGGGAGGAGAACGCTGGCCCTCATAGGAGCGAGTGTCAGAGAAAGGGTCCCAAAGCTCTTCTAGATACTTTTGGAAAAATAAACTCTCTAAAGAAATTCTCTTCATTTAAAACTATTGTAAGCCACATGATCTATAGTTTTCAACCACACAATCGTTTTCAACGATTCAACAATCAGAATATTTCACTGATTTAAAAACAGATGCAACTTTAAGGCAGGAAGAGCCATATAATATGCCTGACTGTTATGTTCCTTATTTTGAATAACAGCTTCTTACAGACTGCACATGATTCTCTTAGGCTATTCGTGAAATAGCTCTAGGAAGTTTCCATTTACTCTCTTATATG